AATATACTTACAGTATAACTTGGAAAATTTTTTTTTTCTTCAGGTCAAATCAAATGACATTCGTCTTTACGGTTATCATTTTTGCTTCCAGAACCAATACGTTAACGACGTATATTTTTATAATGTTTCACACGGAACAACTGCATAACCTGCACAGGGCTCAGCGGTGCAGCACGCGATGGTCGTGTCGTCGCGTGCTGTATAGTCGTATTTATTTTAGAGGCTGCGGTTGTGAACGGGTATAAGAATGTGCGGGGTACATGGAGCCCGGGGCACGTGGGCAAAATAATATATTAAAGCCCGTGTATTTATTTATTATTACCTGTGTATATTGCATATTGATTCAGAATTCATATTTATTTTAAATATTAATATTTATAATAATATGGTATTATGTTTATAATTATTAATTTGTGACTAATTAATAATACAAATTGTATGGCTCTTAATTACTTACCTACCTTTTAAAGATGTTATGAATAGTTTACAATTATGCTTAAAAAGTAATAAGATATGCATTCGTTTATCGTATAATTTTATATAGGCGTAAACTATGAGTATAATGATGTATAAAAGAGTAATATTTAAACTGGATTTAAGATTAAAAGCGTAGCCAATCACAAAGCTATCTTATCGCCAATTTTATTGCATTGCGTTTACATATATATGCTTTGTATCTAAACATTTTTGGTGATTTTAACTTATTACGTACGAGTGTTCAAGCTCACGGGTATACACGAGTATTTTTATTACACGGGCCTTAACAATGTCCCAGGTAAAAACACGGGTACTCGTGTAGTTCGATACACGTGTAGTCGTGATCTCTAATTTATAACCACCTTCTCCTTTCGTTAGGTTTGCGTGGGTACCAGATATTAAAAAAATAAAAAATAAAATCATATATTTTCTGATAAAGGCGGCGATTTCAAGTCACCTTAGGTAGGATGCGCGGCCCCAGTTGCACGTTATACTGTTGGCGCCCGGCCAACGTAGTCATAAATCATGAGTCCGATCACCTGGGCAATTTATTCGAGACTGTCCCGCTGGCCGTCGAGAAGAACCGGCGGAGTGGGTAGGCTCGTGTCGGTAATTCGATCGTAGTGTCGGTTTGCACCACGCTAACCACTTCTCCCCCTCCCCCCTCACTGGTCCATATTACTCGACTTTCTTCTGAGCGCGTGTGTGCGCGTGTATCGCGCATGCCAAAGAGAGAAATTTGATCCGCAATACACACTGTTTAGTTCGAGACGTCGCCGTACGATCAACTTACATTGCACGCGCGAACATCATCGCTACAGTGCGGAGGTGGGCATTAAAAAAAAAAAAAAAAAAAAAAACGAGGAAAAGGGGTAAAATCCTGAAGGATACGGTTTTTAACGGTAATACAATAATGAATATCGAATACACATAATAATGATCAATAATTATCAACTATATTGGACATTTATCGTAACATTTTTATTGCTCTTGGCGTGCATATGAATATTTAAATACGAGTGCGCTATACCGGTATATATATATATATACAGTGAGTGTATTATAGTACTATAAACATTGAAACCAGTGATTTTCAACCTTAAGGTCGTGAAAAGTAGTTCGGAGGTCCCCAAAAATATAAAACAAATGGTTGTTTATATCAAAATTTATTTATTTAATCTAATTATTACGAATGCACAATAACATATCGAATAAAATAGGGCATAGCATAATCTTATCTGATAAATGATTAATAACCATAAACTATTGTGGTCATTCATCTTAATTGGATTGGCATTTAATGTGTGGTTATTTTTATATTCGTTCCTTATAGTGCATTTAATTAATTTTAGTCACAAATATAATACTTAATAAGAAATTTGGTTAAAAACCAGATTTAAGAATAGCAGATTCTAATATAAAATCTAATATGGAAACTATAGGTATAGTTTCAAAAATTCAAGCATAGGTTTCCCATTAAAACAAGAAAATTGTTAACATACATTAGCATATTACCTATTTATTTATTTTTTACATTTTATTTTATATTTATTCGAGTATACGTGTTAAAAAAAAAATCTCATATTAATTAATTATTTGTAGGGCTCGCATTAATAAAAATATAAAAATTGGGAGTCATTATTCGAAAAAAGTTGAAAATCATTGATTTAGACCAGTGGTCGGCAACCGGCAGTTCACGGGCCACATCCGGCCCATACGTCACTTTTATATGGCCCACATTAGATTCCAAAACTAGGAAATTTCATTGAATATCATACTGATTTTTTGTATTGTCTGGCCCGCGAACCCTTTTTAATTTGTAAACGTGACAATGTGGCCCAAGTGTCCAAAAAGGTTGCCGACCATTGATCTAGACGATACCCTTCAAGAGACCATTGAGGCTCATCCTATCGTTTGTCATACGTTTTTTTTACAATATTAAATGTCAATCGTTACATCGCATTGGCCGAAATAAATCTTTCATCGTATTACGAGTATTTATGTCATGTTTTTAATTTCCTGAATATAGAATGTTATAAGTCCAGCCAACAGCGTTTGTACATTTATGTTAAATGTATTTTTAAAGACGTACACTATACTGTTTTAACATCTGTGTTTTAACAATAGCCCGTGGTTTCTTTGGCAGAAGAGGAGCCTGTAGGCTTAGTTCATTGCTTAAACGACTTCCTAATTATATAATCTACATACAACATCCACATATTTTTCGATACGCATGGAATTTTATGAGAAAATCTATTAAACATTTTATTTATTATCTCGCTATGTTTGCGTTAACGGAGTTCATTTAGTTAAAGCATGCAATTTATTTGGTTTTCTGAACATACTGTATCATATTGGTTTGTTACAACGAACAAAGGTTTTAATTCCCATTAACGATGATTTACGTTTTGAATATCTGTATAAAACAAACGGGTCAGTTTAATATTTAATGATTTATGACTTATTTTTAGCATTTAGTATACAACATATATTTGTATGGTTCTCTTACATAAATATTAAATGAAAATGGGTTGATTAATAAGTAAAAAAATTAATTTAATAACATGGTATTGTAAACTATGGTAAAAGCGTTGGTATGTGTGTTGGTTTCCTTACAGTTACCAACATTTTTTGTACAGTAAAAAAGATTCCAATTTTTTTTTTTATAATACCATATATTTATTGACATTTTAGTCATTAGGTTTATATCTCCTTTCTTGATATTATATTTTAAACCTAATTAAGATCAAAAATAAGAATAGATATTATTTTACACCAGTGAAATCTTGATCGTTCAAAGCTTCACCAGTAAACAATTTTGTATGAAAAATCAATACGGCCTGGCGTTGATGGCCAAAGGGTATTTAAATGTAAAATAAAATAAAAGTACAATCATAATAAAAAAAATAAATATAAACAATACAAACAATGTGTAACAACTAACACAGTGGGTTAATTAATTTTCAATATATAAGTGACTACGTTAGTCTACAGATACTCAGTATAAGAAACATAAAAATAAGAAATTATTATATAAAAATATAATTCTAGGTAATCTAAGACAGCTTTTTATTATGTAATGTTTCTGAAAAATGTTGCGATCAAAACAGGGAGGTAAAAAGATTCTTGAAATCTGGTGATACCATGAAACAGAATTTTTAAAGAAACATAACACTATAATTCATCGTTTAATAGATAAACATAAATGAATAATTGATCGATGAAAATTAATATATAAACATCATAGATCATATTTGTTAACAATACAACTTCAACCTATATATACGTTAACAATATCATGAAATTTAATTCAAATACATTGGTTAGAATACATGCTAATACAACTAATACGAAACTTCCATGTTATGAGTACTATATAAGATAATTTGATTAATTTCTCATTCATTTAAATTTGATATTCAAGTTTGAATAATACTGAATTCAATAAGTTTTAACTCATTTAATAATATACAACTATTGATAACTAATATTCTTCACTTTACATACGAACAATGAAATGATTTTCATTACCTATATAATTATAACCTGTGGTCCTAGTTACCCATGATGCCACGAGTAATTAAAAAAAAAACAAAAATTGTACGAATATTTTACTTAAAGACTATTATTTAATACATATAATATCATGTGCATAGATCAATAAAACTGACTAAATTAATTTATATTCTATAACATGCTTTTGTTTGGAATAAATACAAACACCTTTTTTTTATAGTTACATGTAAAAAAAATGTTTTGCAAATTTAAAATAATTATTTAGAATTTAATTTTCATGTAATTAATTTTTTTAATTAGGTATAAATATTTTCTCAGTTTTTTTCAATCATTATAAGGCCATACTAACTCAATTTTGAAAACTATGTGAAATGTGAAACAATTATATTATATTTAGTGTAAATTGGCATTAGTGTAATATTGAACACAGATTTGTCTATTTTTAGGATTTAATTTTTCATTGGATTTACTGTAATTTTAAGACGTTCGGTTAGGCAATGTAATAGTGTACAACTTCAAAGCTCTATTTATAATTTGTAGTTTGTATTTCACACCCGACTACTCCAAGTGTTATATTAAAACATATGTGCTAAGGTTTGATGTTCGAAATAGAAAAATATATCAATAATATAATTAAGGTCAAGGCGAATAGCAATAATAATGAACACAACTTGAAGTAGTTATGGCAAATAAATAATTTAGTAAACAACGGAACTAATAGCAGTAATATGTATGTAATAGCATTAAAAAAAAAAAAAAATTTAATTGAAAAATGGATAGATTTTATACTTTGTAATCACCGAAAATCTTTGTTATTTGGCGCGAAAACGAAACATTTTTGATTTCAAAAACAACGTTGGCAGTTTTATAGTACCCAACGACTTGTAGCGTACGAGTTTACATCAACTTAATATTTACAAATGTAAACCGTGTTACGTGATTGTAGTACGATACAATCAATATTACAATCTAATATGATTTAAGTATTATCGTCGTGTAATACATACTTTGATCTCTTCGTCCGGCGTTTCGTTTTTGACCAACCCTTTGGGGTCCGTATTCTTTCGCGCGTTTCTGTTCATTTTCCGCGGATCCCCGGCAAAGATGAGTGTGTACGTACCGTTAGACTATTATTAAAACGACCGGTGAGGAGTATATGGACAACGGGTATTATGGGTGCAGCGGTTTTTCTCGGAGACCGTGTCGTTTGTCCGTTACCGAAACGAGATTGACGAACGGAACAAAAACGTTGATACGGGGTGGGGGGAGGAGGTATGAGAAATCGGCGAAAAACTCAAACGGTAACGTTATTCCGTAACGGTCGGGTAACGTAAACGTGTTGAGATAGGTACCAGAATCGCGGTTAGTACCACGTCGAACGCGCACGCGGAGCCGTCGCGGCTACCTAACAACGTACACTGCGTGCCGGTACACGACTCACGCGTCACACCGCACAGACGAGACGACGACGAATTACTTATTATTATTATTATTATTATTGCGACACGGGAGAGAACCGAATCGGTGTCGCGTCCAAAAGCGCGTGCCGGTCGCGCGGCTCCGCACAAGTATTGGGAAATCGTGGCGGCGGCTTTGGCGGCGGTGCGTGCGCTGCGGCGGCGTGCGGCGGGCGCTGCGCGAGTAAAAGCGCGCGGGACCCGTTCGAGGCTCAACCGGACTATAAATAGGCGCGCGCCGGGGGCTAGGCCAGGGTGGATCGTGGGCATCGGTTTCAAAACGGTCAGTGCACGTCGTCGTGTTGCCATCGGCCGATTTCGCAGTGCGCGCTCGCTTGTTCAAACAGTGGCGCAACAAAGCGACCATCGGACGGTGACGTCCTGAGGCCGAGGGCCACGGGATTTCAAGTCGAACGACTTCGAATTTACAAACATAACATTGCACTTACGAAATATTATAGTTTTACAATTTTTTTTTTTTTTTTTAAATTAAATATCCAATGCAAACAATAATTGTAATAATAATTAATAATATATTAATATATTATTAATATTAATTTGAATTTATAATTATTAATTAATTTTAATTATTAAAATCAGCTTTTTATAAAAATAATAAGATTACGCAATTTTATGAACTAAAAGAAAAATGAGGTTTTCGTCCGCTTTTGACGGTTAGGTGGATAGGGTTCAAATAAATCGTGACAAGTTTTGAATGTGAAAATGGGCGGCCAATATACTTAATTATATGATTATTGCCGAACACCTGAATTCTAAATTTTAAAGTTTTTTAGTTTTTGTTTTACGAATTACATTTATTTTAAAATATAAAGAGTAATAATTTTAAAATTACAATGAACAATAGAGTTTTAAATAACGGATTCAAACAAGGAACTACCTTTTACTGATAAAGTTATTAAGTTTTTTAATAACTAATAATAATAATTTGTGTGTTAAATAATTTAAGTGTCATAATTTATATATTTAAAAGTCCCCGATATATATTAATTCTGGAGCCTTACATACTTGTGTGATGTTCGGACCCGTAAAGAACAGAGAAAGGGGAGAATAGAAAATAAGAAAAAATGAGGAACTGGAAAGACTTTTCCGTAATCAGAAACCAAAGAATTCACGAAGTGGGCTGAATATGCTATGCGAAGACAAAATCATCTCATGAAGATGATTATGGACGAGAACCCAGTTGGTAAGACCACTGAGAAGATCCCGATTGAGGTGGGGAGATGTGATAAGAAGTGGAGGCACTAAATGGTTAGACACGTTCATAACACGGGAATGGAGAGCAAGAGCGGTCAATATGGAAGACTGGAGGATTGGGTGTATGACGGGAATGTCTCGACGGCTGAAAAACCCAAGAAGAAGATATGACATGTTAAAACAGCTCACATATTTCAACAGTCACTTATTTTGGTTAGAATAACAGATATCATACAAAGTTTAGTTCGATTATTATATCAAAGTAAAAAAGAACCGAACAATACGATATTCTCTCAATATGACTCGTATATTCATACGTAATCTATTCTACATAATGATAATAACGTGTCGTTAGGATAATAAATCATTTTTATTTTTTGTTCTTACTAACATTAACCGTACTTATCATAGTTTACAGCTGTTTACACATTAGGTGGACTGTTCACGCGCAGACGCGGTTTTAAATCGCTTTAACGCGAAGCTACACATAATTTACGCGGTTAAAAACCGCTCCAAAAACAAATAACTTAAACAGAATATTAAAAACAAAACAAAAACCATCGCTCATGATTCCTGCGCAAGAGAACATTACGAAGTCTTTCATGGTGGCTTTTGCTACCTTAAGCCAACAATTATTTTTAATAATTCTATTATGATAGTCTACGGTTTTGGCAATGTGTATAATACAATAATAAATAATTAAAAATCTATTTGATCGATCAAGTTTTCATAAAATGTGTATTGATATTGTACCTGCTTAAGTTCCAGATACTATTATCATAGGATATGTCTATGATAAAACGTTCCAAATCAAAAGTCATATTGAAATTTATAAGTCGTTTTAAAATTATTGTACAATATCCAAAGACAATTATACAAAAATATAAAGAATGGCAGGAACAAACCATCACTTTCTGTATAAAATAAAAATAATAGCGTTTAGGCACCGCGAACATCCGCCCTGTGTGAATAGACCCAGTAAAATCAACGGGTTTAATTTTAGCCGTCTTCGGCGAATGTTCGCTCAAAATTGAACGGATTATATCTGCTTGGTTCATAGTATGATCCAATCTAAAATAGGTTGTTTAATTTTAAGCGATTAATAGCGGCGATTTAAAAACACGTCCGCTTGCGAATAATCTGCCTAGTGTGTAAGCAGCTTACCAGACTTTTTTATGTCATTAATCAAATTTAAATACCTTAAGTTATTTAAAGCTTTTGAATAATACTGGAATCATTAAGACTAATAAAGATCTCAGTACTTCGTGGTTGAAACCATTATAATGAAATCTTATATTGATATATTTTAAGACAGTTTATTTTAAAAATGTTATTTAAATTAGAATAAAAAAATATTTTTATGTATAATCACAAATCTTAAGCAATATCTCAATTTATCTGGATTTTTAAAAAAAAATTTATTCCCAATATCCCTTCTCTTTTTATAACGATCATGATACTATTAATTATACAATAGTGTACAGTATTGATGATTGCTTACAGGAAATAAAACTATCATGACAGGCAACAGAAAAACGATTAACTTATTCTGAGGGGGGGGGACTCAAAACATTTTAACTTTATCACCCTGTATATTATATTATGATGTCGAAATACTTTGACTCACGACTGAGGGAGTGGTTTGTGTATTGCATCAAGTTCAATATTTTTGTTTACATTAAAAAAAAATAATTCTGAATTATCGTTTTCAAAAAACGTTGTGAACCAAAAATGTATTAGTATCCATATGCGTCAATACGTAATATTTACCTAGTTAGATACCGCGCAATTTTCACGATAGCTAAAATTAGAAAGAAGTTGAATAGTTCAAGCAATCGAGATTGATAAATTTGAAAATATATTTTAAGAAACCGTAAAATGATTAGTAGTTTTCACGACTTAATTAAATTATTTTATAATAATAAAATATTAATATCTTTATCTTATCGTATATCTGACACCAATAACTCACAATACTCGTATAACTCAGTAGTACAGGAGATTCATTTGGAAGCATAACCCAGAATTAGATAATTGTAATGAATTTTACCAAGTGGTGTAGTATATTTTTAGACATTGAAATATTCTGAAATTAAATTGAAATTAAAAAGTTTATTAAATTTACCATACTCTACAAATTTTAAAATAAATATTTAATCATTGCTATGCTTCATTTTTAAGTAGTCATCCATATTATTTATTCCTTTATATAATTATTGATTACGTTTGTTGGTTATTGATGATTAAAATTCTTTGAGAATTTAATCATTCTTGTCATAATCATAGACTTATAGATGTAACGGAATTCACTACAGGCAATTATTAATTATTTTAGTATAAAATATTATAAATATATAATAACCATTAATGGTTAAACAACCATAGAGTCCAGGAATTTTTTTCGTGAATATCAGATAGGATTTTTCATTGAAAAATACAAGTAATGTACATTCATGTAGTTAATTTGGATTTTAATTATATTTTTTAATTGACACGTATTCCGCAACATATTTTGGGTTATAATTCTCATACAAGTATAAACATCTTCGATAACGAATAATCATGCATAGTTAAGTATCACTTTCTAATTTTAAAAATGTTATCAAATAGTTTAAAAAAATAAGTTTTTGTTTGAAATATTACTGTATATGTGTAAATATTTATGACCATTTCAATTAAAAAATATAATCAGGTTTAAAAAAAGGTACTTTATATAAAAATGCAAATAATAATCGTGTGAAAAAATATGTATTAAGAAATTTAAATTTAGAACATTATTTTTAAAATAATATTTCAGAAATGTATGTGGTTTTTGATATCTCTACTTCTTTTACCAATATAAAATGTAATTTACTATACTTATATTTCAGTACATATACACCAATCTTATAATCATAGACGTGCGAACGGGTGTGGCTTATAGGGCTATAGTCACACCTGAGATTTTTTTAGTTAGGTACAAGTTACTTATGTAAAAAGGGCTAATAACTCTTTTTTTTTTGGAAAATCAAGTTTTTTTTTATCAATTTTATTGAATTACAAAAAAATAAAAATTACCAGGACTGGCGTTCATTGATAATCAAATTGTACATCAGTTTTTCTAATAAATTTTATTTTTACTTACTTATGTTTTGTATATCTTTTTTTTTTCTTAATGTGGGGTTTTATAAGGGGATAGGTAATCAAAAAAAATAAAAGCCACACCGGAAACAAGAATCTGCTCACGCCTATGGTATTTAAAGTTGTATTACCGCTCACACCAATGTGATTGCGACCTTTATCGTTGCGCGAGGGTAAACCGATCAAGTCGCACTTCGAAAATTATCGCTACAGTTGCATGAACTTAGCCTGTCAACTGTACAACATGAACAACGCGATCCGGTATATAATATATATTTTGTTCATGTTGTTGATGAGTACTGGTGTACATGGGATTATACCTTAAAGGATTACAGCAGACGAGATGTCACAGAAAAATCTTGGAAAGATACTGTTCACGATTCCGGTAAGTATAATTTTTTTTTCATTTAAAACCATGACATTTTTCATTCAAAAACATTTCTATTCAACTAAAAAATTGTGTTTTAGTCGAATAGAATAATTTTGTGTGACTCATTAACAATCAATTTAAAAATTCTAAAATACATTTTAAAATACACAATCGTCAATCTGACATACGGGAGTATTATTGTCACAATAGATTCATTAGTAAAAAGCACATTAATTATATATTCTACAAATTTATTGAAAAATTAAATAAGTGAATTACGTTGTTATCAATAGTTCAAATATTATGTCGTCTTAAATAAATAGGTGATCAAAATAAAAATATTATATACTTGTTAGATATACCTAAATCACAAATAAATAATAATTGATGATAATACATTTTTATATATATTCCCATTGACGAGGTATACTGCCTTCTGGAGGAATAAAATATTCCACCAATGTGTCACGGATTTGTATTGCTCCAGTTTATCTTAGTGGGATTCTTTTGAAACCTACATTGTTAAATTTTTTCATAGTTTTATTTGTATTATCAATATCATAATATCGTAAGAGTTGCTTATTATAAGTGTGAGTGGAAGTTGTATTACAATTATTATCGTAAATCGTATATCGTATATATCATATCGCTCTGGTATACGTCCCGCCTTATAACATAAACGCTAGTATACATCGAATCGAATGAATTACGTCGTTTTTGAATTTTAAAATGTTATTCAAAAGATTATTTTTTGGAAATCGAAATTTGCTTGGGTTATTGTGTTTTTATTTATATTGTACTGCATAAGTATCCACGATCTGTTCACCATAACTTGAGACTTTTTTCACTTAATTTCAATCTCATTCCATTCTCAACTCTATTCATCATAATATAATATTGTCTACCTCATCAACACCCGAAGATCGGCGACAATCCAAGTTAGGGCTATTTTATTTACCTTCCGAGATTACTCAATTACACATCTCGAACATTTGTAAACCTAAATTACCTTTCTTAAACAAGGAGGAGTGTTTTCAATCCAATCCCATATCAATCACTTACACTATTGTATTTTGTATTATTTTTCTTTTTTTTTTTAACTAATTTTGGTTTATAAACAATATTTATATTGAAAGTCTATGGGTTTACTTGGTAAACTTAATTTTTCTATATCTCGCATACTTAATAAAGTTACCGCTGTCACATCAGATTTGATCGCCCAATAAATTAAAATACTACACTTAAATCTATAACTGTTATTTACAATTGAATCAAATTAGAATACTGAAAATTCACAATACATAAAATATAACAGTAAATATTAGGATGTTAATATTTTAAACAAAAAAAGTTATAGTTATAAAAAAAACATAAAAAAACCAACTTAAACTTTCATCACGTAACCATTGTTCGGCTTGCGCTTGTCGTCTTGTACACACATGAGCTCATCTCGGAGTAATGTTTTCTTGATGCGAAGTGCTTTCATCGTCTATAATCGAACTTACAAAACCAATTGCGAACCATAACAAGGGTCATCGGCTACTTCATCAGTTCCGTTTCTGAGGCACATTTAATTATTTTACGAGACCCATTATAAATATTGTACATAGTACCTTACCATTTAAGATATAATACCATATAATCATACCGTAACAAGGATCGGATTAAAGTTACATTTTAATAAGAAACATTTTATTACAAATTTTTGTAAAACAATAAGTTTTTTTGACGCAAAATACGTGGTTTTATTATACAAAACATTAACAAAATATATAAATACATATATACAATAGGAACAATAAATAATTGTCGTCTTAATTTAGGCCAACGGGCCTTATTAATGTGCTGTCACAGCCAAGCCAACCGGCAAAGTCTTGTGCGTTTCACAACATCTTAGTTGACGTACAAAGCAGTAATGCAATGAAAGCCATTGCTGCATGTCATAATATCAAAAACGGTATCTGTAACGAAAACGTTTATATCAAGACCTGTACATGGCACGTAGAATACATTTATAAATTAAAATTGTATTGTTATAGGTAAGATTGTACTTAAGGGTCGGACGGAGAAGCAGGAATCTTATTCTTAGGTTAAAGAGGTATTTTAACGGATTCTCTTACTGGTGCAATTCCAATACTCTGCAGAAACGAAACTTACGTGTGTACTAATATTTCGGTGTATATTATCGAGACGTCATTTGGTTTGAACCGTTATAACGGCCGATCCGGTTGGAAAAAATAACGGTTGGTGGCTATGAACTGATCGACGGTTTTGAACGGGTGACCGGTGAAAAAACCGTCTATGATTTTGTTTATCGTGCTTTCAGCTGGAAAATCAAAAAACAGCGATTTATAACGAAATGTTGTAATACGTAAGTATATAAGTACATTGTATGTTTATAAATAATTATTGAGATAAAAATCGTTTGTAGAAAAACGCGCAGGATTAAAACGACTGGCAACGGCATATAAATAGTATGTGAACTGGTTTAACAGAGACAGCTCGACATTTTACTATTTTACACGGAATGCTGGAAAACTTAAGAAGTAGGTGTCATTTTCAGTGAATGCGATTTCCTGCACGAGATATAGCACTTACATATGTAACCTGCTATATTTCGTGTAAAAACATATCAAATGCAGTCGTGTTCAATAGATTGAGACTTACACTGGTTGTTAGGCTATAAACCGTAAGAGAAATAGTAAAATAAAATAAAATCGAGCAGTCGATATAAAGATGATGACAAATTTTTAAACAGTGTACCGACGACGATGATTATAAATGTTTTTGAACATACTGAAAAACATCAAATCGCTTTTGGCGCGTTACAATAAAATAATGAAATATCATACTCGGATCGCTGGCGCTATTCATCAAGGTCCTTGATATGAGTTGGACGAGAATCTCAAATTCGGAGGATTTGGTGAATTGCCCGTGTTCAAAATATGGTCTCATGCGGTCTGAGACCAACAGCATGATCCTTTCATAGGAGATGATCCGTTCCTCTTCCAGGGACAGGAATATTGGTTGATACCTGGGATTAGGGCAGTTACCAAGCATATTGTTCAGCTCCTGGTTTATCCGAGCTCGCATGGCTTGGGGTAGTCTTTTCATGTTCCTTCTGAACTCGTGCGTCGTAGCCACCATAGCGCTGAGATTTTTATCATTTTTGACGATGTTAATCATCTCGGGTCGCACGGTACTCGGGTCCACAAAGTCTTCCGTTGTTGATCCCGGAAACATTGATGTGCATTTAAAATTTTCGATGGCTAGTGCCATAATGCTTTGCTCATCCTGTTGATCTGCAAGCGTAAATAAAACGATTATTTTAAGGAAACATAATAATGTACGCTTTGGCACGAAGACATTTTTGTTTTCCACGAGGTCGGGAGTTAATCGTTAACGATTGTGAGTTGCCTGTAACAGGTGTTAGGTTTTATTTGAAATAATACCCATAATCTAGTTACCGAAGACTTGTGCTTGCGTCGGGAACTGAAGTAGATACGCGTCGCCACAGGAGTTCTGTTGTCTCTCCTCGACATTGACAACAGCGACCTCCACCGTCGATGCGGTTTCACGATTTTTACTGTCCGATTGCGCTATGATGGTCGTCATCAGTCGGTCGTGGATCGTTGATGTGCCCGTGCAGCTGTTCACCTCATCTATCTATTTACCCAAAAGAAAGCATTACGATAGCGAATCATTTTCGTAATATTGTCGTATTCAAGGTTTTAGCATGGGCATATTTTATTGCCCCTCCCCATGAATCCGTATTTAAGGAATGGATTTTATGTGAGATACACATTTTACATTTTTTTTTGATGTGGATCATTTTATAACAAATTCAAATTATGCGTGGCTGTGAATACTGAATTGGGCTTTTTGTCGGGTCCATACTTAGTAAAAAATCAAATAAAATACAAGCGTAACTTTCAAAACATAGACAGGTGTTAAAAAAGAACTGCACAAAATCGATTCTATGTGGATCCGGCATTTAATTAAAAAAAAAAAATTACAAATATTTAGGATTCACCCAATTTAAATATTACCAAAAATTTTACTTGTAAATTTTGATCCTGAATTAAAATAAAAATTGAGTCCCTCCCCCCCCTTAGAAGTAAGTCTAAATACGCCCCTGTGTTTTAGTGCATCCGCATGGGGTCAGCAAGAGTTGAAAGTAGTGCAAGGTTTCTTTTCCTTTTTTCAAGTGCGACCGAGGGGTGAATTTCGGGAATCACAGAGCAGATGTTCACGTACCGTTTTACGCATCACTTCGCAATAGATCTCCGCAACCATGCATTTCCTTATTGCATCCTTTTCTATATCGCCCAAACACTTTTCCACGAACATTTCGACCGTTTCGTCTTCAGCCGAACCGCGGTCACTCGCAGTGTTTTCTCTTATGTTGGACATTAGTGTCTCGCGCAGTTTTGCCAAGTAACCGGCCCTGACCATGTCGCTGAGGCCATAGTCCATGTTCTCAGGACTCATGTCTGCTGGTGTTGCCGGCAGGCCCAGGTCCCATACCGATGCGTATGGTAGTGAATTCATGACGTCTCGTATTCTAGTATACTAGCTAAGTACCTACTTATAGCAATAGTGTACTTTAGTAGCTCTCGTGCTTCCTGAAGTATCAGCCGGAAAGGTTGTACGAGCCGATCGGGAACAACGGTGCACAGAGAGGTATGTTTATGTGTTGTAATGTATCGCCGTAAGTTTGAAACAACTGGAATAGTCAAGTTGATGGTTTACGGGAAACTAAAATTCTCGCTCCTTATTACTTATTTTTAGTACATTTTATAGTAGCAACCGTTTGCATACTACGACTCTTCTTCGTCGATAGCATTTCAGCCATAACATTTTTTTTAATGTTTTATTATAATTTTATTATTCAAATCGATTAAAAGACTGATACGTAGTACCAGTGTCCTATAATGCTCTGCACGGTCCGTTATCTAAAGGACCAGAACGGACTTTACACGATCAACATGATTCGTAGATATTGACAGTAATTTATTGATCGTGTAATGCCAGCAGAGGTGGAACTATAGGAATTTTCACGTCTCGAGAAAATATTAAAATTATGCCCTATCGTAGACCTATGATCAAATCCTCTTCTTGAAAATGTTTTTCTAATAATTAATATGCAATCATACTTATTGAGTTTTAACATAATAACAGTATTTAGTAAAGTTAAAAATATCATATCGGTTGTTAATAATTACAAAAATTACACCCTCTAAAATGTTATGCCCGGGGATGAACTCCCGTCTTCCATCCCATTGTCCGCTCTCTAAATGTATACAATTTTAGAAGCTTTAAGAGCAAATGATGAAATAATTTGCTATTATGACTGAACATTTCAATCAATCGATTTAGTGAATTAATTATCAAACTAAAATTCTTATCTTAATTGGGTAAAACCTTATTTATTTATTTATTTTTGAATTGTATCAAAAAACCATTGACAATAATCAATTGATATATAAGCTAAACAATGATAATGATAATTGGACGACAATCGCTCAGTGCGCACACCCGTAATCGTACATATCGCCCTTATCTCGTATATCATTTAAATCGCCCACACGTCGGCATCACGTGTCAGTCGAGTGCAGAGGGCTTAAGGGTTAGTCGGAACACACACCGGAGCGATACAATGTACAATAATTATCGTATATTATAGTTTCTACATATTTATCATAGACGTGCGAACGGGTGTGGCTTATAGGGCTATAGTCACACATGAGAATTTTTTTTGATAGGTACAAGTTACTTATGTAAAAAAGGGCTAATAACTCTTTTTTTTTTTTGGAAAATCAAGTTTTTTTTATCAATTTTATTGAATTACAAAAAAATAAAAATTGCCAGAACTGGCGTTCATTGATAATCAGATTGTACATCAGTTTTTCTCATAAATTATATTTCTACTTATGTTTTGTATGTATATATATTTCTTATGGTGGGGTTTTATAAGGGGATGGGTGATCAAAAAAATTAAAGCCACACCGGAACAAAAATTTGCACACGCTTATGCTTATAATTGTAAATCATTTTGATTAATATTTAAATTTATTGATTGAAGATGTTCATTTTTTTAAATATTAAAATTATTACTTTATGTCCCGAAGTTTATTTTTAAAATTTTGAATGTTTCATTATTAAAAATATAAGTTTACTAGTATTCATATTTTTAACACAAAGACAAATTATTTTAGAATCAATTTCATTCAATATTAACTATATTGAGATGTAAAATTTTGTTTATTGAATTAGGCTCTACTTGTATAATTGATAATATTAATAAATATTGCTCTTCAAACTCAAAAAAATTATATTTTCAAAATTGTATACAAAAAAAAAAATTTCAAAATATCATTTTTAAGTTTTTTTCTTTCAATAAAATCAATCAATAAACGTAAAAATCTATAATTTACTAAAAAATAAAGGGGACCTCAAATATAAATTTACTTCAAATTGTGCATTATATCTGAAAAATAGCATATAGCATGTTAAATTAATATATTTATGAACATTTTACCATATAATAATACCTATAACTAAAGTTAATGTTAAACCTAATCATTAATTATGTTATAAGTTGTAAAAACATGACTGCAATCTTAAATAAAAATATCAGATCCCTTTGGAACTAACTAGTGGTGCAAACCCTTATATTTATTAAAGGTTCAATAACATAATAATAATCTTAATTAAAATTAAAAGATTAGTTTATTGGTATTTATTTCTCAATGAAAAAAAAATGTACAGTATAAAAATATACCAATTAACTATTTACAAAAATACAATAATAAATATAATGTTAAAATTGTTTAAAAATGTAATAATACCTCAATTCTATAAAGGCCTCTAGAAAAAAATTTGTTTTATAAAAATGATCAGTATACAAAATAAAATTGTCATTATTGTGCAATAAATGCAATAGTACATTTATATAAATATGATTAATATTTTTAACTATATACATAATGATGAATTTTACTGAGCATATTGAACTTTGTTAATTTTTTCTTTTTATCAAAAAATTAATGAATGTAAATTTTGAATTTGAAAAAGTATATTCTAAACTATATTCCTTTAACCAGTATAGTATATTAAAATTGTAAGGAATGTCATTAAACATAATACCAATTTAAATTCTTTTGATATTATGTACTTAAATATACAAATTAAGTAGTTAATGTATTAATATTTATGGAGTTTGTATGATTTAATAAAGCTTCATGTAAATTCAACTTTTATTTTTAATAAAAATATTGGGTTTTTAAGTTGTAACCGGACAATAGAGGCCTTGTGGTTGCACTGGTCTGCAAAAGTGATGTTGGATGATCATCATATGTCTTGTAATTCTAAAAAAATAAAAATAAATAAATAAATATGTTGCTTGATCAGTTACAATTTATTTCAGAGTTATATAAGTTAAAAAAATAAAAATTAATAATTTTATTAATATTAACTATTGTAAACATCAAGAATAATATTTTTTATTTAAGATTAAAACAAAAAATATTTTATATTGAACAATGTTAATCTAGATACAATATATGTTTTAATAATTTATAACTCTGACATAAATTACTGTACTTGAACAATGGACATATACAATAATGTAAATTTTAAATATAGATTTAAAATAGTTTGTTTTGCAGATAAAAAACATAGTATTTAAATCACCAATCTTGCTTTACACTTTTATCTTTTTATCAACATTTTCAATAAGTAAGATATTATTTAGCTTTGATAATAAAAAAAAAAATAGGTTTTAAAATAATAAATTAATGATAAGAAAAATTGAAATTTAATAAATTTTAGTTACATAATGATGATAATTCAATATAATTAATTTAATCATACAACACTTTTGATAAGTAAGATTATTTTTGTAGTATAAGAAAATATCCAGCATATTTGAATTCCTTTTAAAGTATTGTCACGTTCTAATAGGATTTAATTGAGATTAAAAAATATATATATAAAATATTAAGAATAAGTTTCTCTATACACTACATTTTTAATATAATAAATATAACATGCATGATTGGGCAAATGGATTGTAGGAAAATATAAATTTTTAAAAAATAAATAAGTGATTGTTAATGAAGAAAATGATCATTAATTTAGTTAAATTCTTCTTTTTTTAATCATATTTATTATTATTATTTTTTTTTTTTTTGTTAACCTGGCCACTAAGAAGATCCTGTCTCATAACTAATTCAAATTATTAATTTCTATAAATTAAAAATAAAATAAAAATGTAAGCAGGATTAGTCTTTTATACATATATTAGAAACATATATCAATAATAATAAATTTTAATAATTAAAATTAAATAAACTAGTGTAAAATAATAAACATTAACAAGCACTTTTTTTTTTACAAACAGCTTTGAAATAATATTACTATATACTACACATTAATTGAGCAATACAAAGCTTTAACCATGATAACATATTAATAGTGCATTACCTACTTAAATAGATATTAGTTATAGAGGTTATTAAATCTCATTAGTTATTTTAATTATTTAATATGTAATAATAGATACCATCTGAAAATTGTAAACTGAAATCAAAATAGATTTAATCTGATTTGAACTCATTTATATAATGCCAAAAATGATATATTTGCTATAGATTTTTTTACTATTATATATAAATAAGAAAAAATAATATGTTGATAAATTAAGTTCATTGACACATGTATTTATTGTGCAGAAAAATGTTATCTCAGAAGTGATTATTGTTATCATACTTTTGAGTTTAAAATTAACACCTAAATAGATGCTCTTTGTTAATATTATAAGAAATTCGTTTCGATTTTACACAAAAAAGTCTCTGATGCAACAGAGGAGTAAATAAATGATGTCATACTTTGTTTTTTAATGTCTTTTTTAAAGACATTAAACTTGTATTTTGATTGAATAATACTTTACACTAATTGGCATAGATCAATAGAACAACTTTATAAATATTTTAATGTAATTATATCATGCTGCTAAGTTTTATGTAAGCAATAAAACGGTAATAAATACTCTTATTTTTAACATCATGCAGTTAATTTAAATTTAAAATAAAATTGTAGTAGGTATATTAATTAAAGCATTTAAAATGAATGACATGAATATAATGAAATCATTTTATGATCATTCCATGTTTTTTGTTTGTTTTAATTAGATGACTTAAAAAGAATGATATTTTTGTGACCGAGAACATTAATTAATTAATAGCATTTCATTCACGAGGCCCGTATTTTTTGTTTATAAGACTTACTTGCTATAATATGATTCCACAAGTGTTTACTACTTCATTACGATACAGTACATAGTATACATATACTATTTAAATAATTTAAACGTTTGTAATGCATTTATTTGTGTTTAAACAAGAAAAATACAAAAATTCAATTTTTGCCGGTTAGAAAATGATTACAAGTTCATATAACTTTTAAGAAATCTAACAAAAGCTAAAAATATAGTAATATAGCCAATTAATTTTATTGCAATACATTAATACAATATTATGTAATAGTTGTGATAAGACAAATAATAAAGAATTTTCAGAACTATGCGATTAATTAATCATTAATTTTTGTACATGTTTTAGGCTAAATGTAAAAGCGGGCCCATATAGAATGCAAACATTACAATAATACACACACGTTAACCTACACGTAGCGTTTGGTGTTTTTAACTAAAATTTTGTCCATGAATGTAGAAATAAATATTGTGAACTCATAGTTCAGTCTCTGTGTTAATGCACAGTGGTTTGATTTATTTAAAATTATCGATACTGATGATGAAATTCTTATAAATAGTGCTGCTTAACTTGTTATGACAAGTATAATTAAAAAAAAAAAAGAAGCATAATTGAAAATTAAAAAATAGTCGCCGATTTCGAGCCAATGATATTCTGAAAAATCGCGTCCGTTATTGTGGGACAGATTTATTAAATGATTAAAGAATGAACGAAGAAGTTAATTTTTCAAATTTCTGTAGAATGAATATAGTGATTTTTAAATACTACTTTATTTAATTGGACATAATATTGCAAAAAGTGATTCGTACTTTAGAAAAGCTATACCTGTAAATGAAAGACTCCTCGTTTTACATTTAAAGTACTACAATCGGGCAAACAGTACAAACATCAAAAACTCCGACCAATAGTCGTCAGAAAACCTTTGATATTACCGCAACCATGAATTACGAGCGTGAGTGCTGTGTATACTACTATTTGTAAACACGTCCACATTATCTCTGATTTTCATATACGAGATGAATTTACGTGCTCTGTATTTAAAGTTTGCATACTACGTGGAAATAGTTATTTTACTATAGTTTTGATAACCATAATCATATTAATTCATTTTTATTGTTATAAGAAAACTATTTTTAAAGATTTTTACACACATATATTTAATTATTATTAATTTATACAAACGATAATGTAATTAATATTGACAATTCCATGGGAATTAATAGACAGTGACATAGTAAGGGTTCTATTTTATAAGTATTCCTTCACACACGTAATATATATGTACATATAGGTAGCAGACAATGTGAGTATAATATTATGTTACATAGAAAATCATAAATGCTATAAAATATAGAAGAATTCAACTTTATTAAATTATAGAGTATTAAGCATTTTTTTCACCTTACAATTTTTATAAGATTTTAGTCATAGTCAATGCATATTATATATTATATTGTTTTATAATTTAAATGATTGCGAATCAAATAAGTTATTAAACAAATATTTTTACAGCAGTTTTTATTTTAACTATTTATTTTTAATTTATTTATGACTTTTTTTTTAAATTTTTTATTATGAGGGAACATAAACATTATTTTTATTCTAGGCTATTTTCTCAATATTATACAAAATATTATACGAAATAATTTAATGTAGGTATAATATTGTTTAGTTATATAAGTTTACTTTATAAATATATTAAAGTAAACTGTTGTGAAAATAGGATTGATGTACTAAATTATGTAGATATGAGGGGAAGGACTGTCCGCACGGGTTAAGTACCTCCTCGTAGCGCCACAATTCACCACAAAAAAAAGAAAAAAATAGGACTGGTGTCAAACTTCAAGGGTTCAAATGGCCCAAATTATTATTATTATTTTTTTTTGGGGGGGGGGGGCTTAAGTCCCCTATTAAATTAATAAAAAAAAGCTTAACATTTCTTATAACTGACTTAATACTTAATTTTGAGGCTTGGTAATAATTAGGGGGTCTAAGTCCCCTATTTATGCTTGTGGTGTACTTAAACATATTATACTTCATTTGTTATTTTAATAATTTCTCTTTGATGAATTTAAATATGTATATAATGTTTAAGTTTGATTTCTAAATTCTTTGTATAGAATTTTATAATAATATAATAATACAATGATATATAATTAATAGTTTTTTTTTAATAATTTCATTATAATATAGAACAATAATAGCTAAAAAAAAAATCAATAGCTAATAAGTAATATATACACACACTCACACTTTATAAATTATTAAAGTTAAAATTAGCTAATCAATAGTAAATATAATTAATATCAAAATTGTTTTATTTGGTATTTTGTCACTATTTACTATTTTTTTTAAGTAACATGAATCATGGTAAAAATAATTAATTTAATACCATATTAAAATTTAACTATTTTGTTTTATTTTTACAAATAAAACATTTTTAACTCACAACACAATAAGTAACATTTAAATACCTCAATATTATTGGTTATTTAACAAACTATTGTGTAAAAAAAAAAAACATTTCTAATTCGTGTAATTTGTAATATTTTTATTTGATAGTAGTAATGGAAGGTTTTCATTGAAGATAATAGCTGATTGCTTACCTTCTTTTTCATGAGACTCAGATGTTGGTGCAAGTAGTTTGGGTTCATTTGGATTTCTTTCTTCGGGTTCCATGGAACTTTTTCTTACATACCGTGTACTAGTTAGAAGTATTCCAAAAATCATTGGTGGAAGTCCAGCAATTAAAAATGCTCCAGTATATGTTTTATATTTATCATACATCCAACCTAAATAAAAATGTAGTGCCAAAAGGTAAAAAAAAATACAAACTCAAAAGAAATAACTATGAACAGTCTAATAAGTTGTTTGATGTTCACATATCTATGCATCATTTTAATTTACCAGCAATTGGTGGTCCAACTGTCAGTGGTATAGAGCATAATCCAAGAATGCATCCAATAGCTTGAGCAGCACCTTTTTGCCCACATAAATCAAAAGCAATTGGTCCCATAACACTGACAAAACATCCATCAGCTAATCCCATTATTAATGTTATAATTATTAATATGGAAAAATGAGGTACTATGACTATAAGCATTGTCATCAAACCAATAACAAACAATGAAATCTAAAACATATAAATATAGATATAAAATAAAATATTACCAATTATGAATAAAAAACAAAGTACATGGCCACTATGTTTTTAAATAAATGTCACTAAGGGAGAAAGGGTAAAAAAAAGGCTAATACTCATAACTTAGGTGATTTAGAATGTACCTATACCAATATACGATACAATTCAAAATGATTGCAAAAATAAATTATAACCCAATGTATTTAAAAAATATAAGAATTTCAACAATAATATTTGAATGGTTTTTTTCATATACCTGTTGCATTATGATTCTATTGACTTGTTTACAATCAGAAATTGGTCCAGCAATTAATCTACCGATTCCTGAAGAAATACCAATACAAGTTACTAACATTTTGCCGTCGTTTTGTGGGAAAAGATCTTCAACAACTTTTACCTATAAATAATGATACATAAATATAAAAAATAACGATTACCAAGAAATTAATTTATTTGAATAAAGTAGGTGTCTAACCATATGGACATAAGGAACAAAGTATCCAAACAGAGCCAGAGGAATCATCGTGGCCCAAATAACATATTTAGGGTTTTTCCAGATATCAACATTGACCAGTGATCGAAGTTCCTCTGACAATGACTTATGTATATCAGATTTTTCCACTTTGTACGTAGGTTTGAACGCCAAAGAACAAAGCATTATGATTGCTGTTACCCCTGCTTCCCATCTATAAATATTATAAAATCAATCATTAAAATATCATCAATAAATCATGATTAAAACGTATGTTAATTTAAAGTATGATAGATTATACACTGATTGTATTTGATTTTTCATTTAAAATTACTATCGATTGATTGATTGATAACTATATACTAGTAATAATTGTGTTAATTACTTGAAGTCCACTTACTACTAATTCTATAGGGTTAAATTTGCCTGCGTTAGTGACTAATAAAATTCCATCAACGGTTACAATAGTCTAAGTTATTAATCATAACAAATTATAATTAATAATATGTAATATTGATTTATTAATCGAATTTAAATAAAATACAAAAAAAAAAAAAAAATCTGTGTTTTGAATACAAAGATTCTAGTCTTCTATTTTATTTTTAAAAATATTCTAAATCTTAAGAGAACAACAAATATTAAGTTTAATACTTACTAACCATTATATAATTTTCCAAACAAATTGTAGATAAACAGATACATTTTTTATCAATTATATAAGTATAATATATAACTTTAATAAATATAGATGATTTGTAAATGTGATAATATTAAATAAAACTGAAGAAGTATTGGCTGAACAAATGGATTATATCAAAATAGATAAATAAGTTCATCACCATTTACAACTAAATATTTAGATAAAAATGTGTAAATATTACTTAATAATATTACTTATGTCAACTTAAGACTTCAAAAAATAATCTTATAACCACTTTCTTAGTATTATAAAATTATAATTGTTTTTAAATAGTTGTTCTTAATCTAAAAAAAATATAATTTATGGACAATGGGTTAAATTTTAAAAGATCGACTAAATATTTATCATATTATAAGATGAAATCATCGTAGAGTTACCTTCAATACAATTTCTATAGAGGACTTATTCAGATTTCAAATACTATTAAAAACTTAACGCAACAGATAATATTTTCATATTTTTAATTGATAATAGATCAATTGCCTTTAATATTAACCCAACCCCTCAACATTGATAAAGCGAAAACAAAAAAATTTTGCATGTCAAATGTAAAAATAATACCGAGACGTTGTTTTATAATATAATTTTTAGTTGACTATAATTTCATGAAAATGCCAATAACATATCAAAATATAAAAAAAATATTTTCTATGCAATACAGAACACATCTGGTCAATGATCGTATCGTATGCCTATAATGAGGCCTAAAATTTAAGTATTAATAATTATTTTCTTGCAGAAATTATTCAAATTCGGAAAAGTTGAATGTTAACAAGCAATTTATAACAAATTTAAATTATTACAATAGTCTTTTTTTTTTCGCGAGTTGAAAATGTTCATCTAACAGAATTTATATTTTTTTAATTCGAATCAAATATTTGTATATATGTTTAAGTGTCGTAAGTATTTCAAAAACGAATCTATAAAGAAAAAATAAATACATTTTTAAGATAGTTAGTGGGATAAAAAATATACTGTTGAAAAATACGATGAAATAAAGTTCATAAATCAAAAATTATTTTTGATTGGTCAATTTTTAAGATAGGACCAAGCTTTTTAAGTCAAAATTGTTTGAAACAATAAAATAATTCAAATTTGAAGTAAAAAATGGGTAATTTAATAAATAGATTATTATTCAATTTCACATTTTTTAAAAATTATCAGAGATCTTCTTTTTATAATCAATTTACTAGTGATCACATAGTGATAAGACTCTTAAATATATTTCTTTAGACGGATTACATTTGTTTGAGTCCCTCCCTCTAACATACAATTATTAGTGATAATAATTAATTGTATCACAACTATTATATAATGTATACTATATTATATATCAATCTTAATACTAATAAATAACATTTGTTTTAAACTAAAATATTTTGGTTATAAAAAAATACTAACCTTAAACATTTGTCTAGACCAAAATGAACAAGTAGATAACTTACGAAGTATGGCATAACCATAGTAAAACATGAACTACCAGCAGTTACTATGCCATTAACAAGTCCTAGATAATTTTTGAAGTAATGACCAAGAATCGCCAATGAAGGAGTGTAGGCAAACGATGCGCCAATACCATATAGTAGGCCATAAGTAATGTATAAAATTTCCACCTAAAATTTAAATAAGGTCAATATTTAGACAAAAAAAATTATAATTCAACAATAGATATAATATTTTAATAATATATATATGTGCACATTATTGATACGAAATAAATCCGGATTTTCAGACTATCGGATTTTTAAATTCAAATTTTAGATTTTTGGACTTTAGAATCCAAATTTCAAGTTATAAAATTCTAATCAGAGTTTTAAATTGTTTGTATAAAACCTAAACTATTTCTCTATATACTAACTAATTTATTAAATACCTAGTTAACTTATTCTAATTATAATCAATATATATAAAACCATCCTAATTTTAAAATTTGTCATCAATATTTAAATAATTGTATAAAGTTACAATAAAATATATTATATATTATATAAAAAAAATATTTATTATTAGTTATTGTTAGTTCAGGATTTTCGGATTTCGAATACCGAAAATTCGGATTTCAAACTTGGGAAAATCTGAATTTTTCCCATCACTAATGCACATAGATATAAGGAGATAATATAACATTTAATTATTTATTACTTTATTAGTTATACCATAACAGAAGTAATAAATTAAGTAAAATTGCTATTAAATCTAGTTTACAATTTTAAAATTTAATTGTGTTTTTCTAGACTATAATATAAAAAATATGAAATATTAGTTAAAATCTTGACGAGTGATACAAAATTACAAGTATTTTGTTATCATAAAATAAAGTTCTAAAAAACATTTGCGGTAAAATAATAGACATGTTGACTTTTTCTCTTCATCAAATAAAGCCGCTATAACCATTACTACTAATTTTTTAATATATAAAAATAAAGAGTTGTGATGATATATTGATATGACTTAATCGTATGACGTTATAGGATGTATGAATGATTTTTTTCATAGAAAAGTTAAGGAATACAATTTTATTCAAAAGGACATTAATTGCAATATTTTTATGATCTTAGTTTAAACATTTTCATGATAATATTAGGGCTGAAGAAAATAGATATTTAAGGAGACTCTCTTAGCATCCTAAGTTTAAATTAAGATAAGAATAATTTATGTGTAGTCAGTGAAAAATGCCGACATACAGGGTCTCACCATGTTTTATTAATTCTTATTTCAGTAGTTATTAATAAAATGTTTTCAATTTTTATTCTTTAAATTGTATTTTGTGTTAGAGGGACATATATATATATATATATAATAAAATATTTTTTTTTTCAACCCTCTATCAGCTAAAAAAAAAAAAATTATCCAGTTGTTCTTATTATACAAATTTAAGTATTATAATATTGTGTAAGACATTATTCCAAAAAACTTTAATGTAACATACGTAAATATCCGATAAATATTTCCTGAGTAATAGCTATTTTAGTTTCTAAAGAAGAGATATGAAAAATCTCTTAATTGTATATTTATTAACAGTAATAAATATAAATTATTATAAGTAGGTAGCTTCTACATTACGCATTAGATTACTACAATTGTTAAATTCTGATGTGAATAGTAACGTATCATAAGCGTATCGTCGCTTTAACATTAATAATTGATATGAAGATACTTATTTTTTTCTCTTGAATTTCTTATATCACTTACTCCATGTTACTACCAGTGAACTGGTGACCGTGATATTATTATTTCTTGATCTTATGATAATCAAAATCCAGGAATAATACGACTGTTATCATGTTTTCAGAGGAAAAATATAAATAAATAATTTATAGTCAATATGGTAACCGTTATTTTGGATACATTTCTGGTATCTATTAATTATAGAATCCGTAATATTTTGTCGAATGTCCGGTGTTATTTTTGAAAGGCGAAGATAATCCGATGTTATAAGTATCGGATAGTCGGATATTTTATATGTATGTTGCATTAAATTAAAGTTTTTATAATAATATCTTACACAATGTGATAATACTAAAATTTTTAAAATAAGAATAACTGGAAAGTTATTTTTTTTTTAAGTGATTAAGAAGGGAAAAAATATATCAGTAGTTATATAGTATATGTGTCCCCCTAACACAAAATACAATTGAAAAAAATAAAAACTAAACATTTTTTAATAAAAATTACGAATAAAAATTGGTAAAACACGTTTAGCCACTCTGTATAATTCATACTTGATAAATTGAAATTTGAAGAAATCTGAAGATTAGTTTTCGGTTGGAAAACGGTTATGTAAAATAAAGCACATCCATCATTTGAAGAATGAAAATTATGTATCAACAGAAAATGTATCGTAACCAAGATTTTATCGTTTAAATTTAACACATAAATATAGTATTTTATAAGAATTAATCAATTCAATTGTATGGTTAAATTTATAAAATAGAAAACGACAAAATTGAAATGTCAATTTCTTAGTGTCTAAAATAAAAAATAACGAATAATTGCAATACCTAGTTAATGTTTAAATATTGTATTTCTAAGTAAATGTTACTAAAAAAAAGCAATAGGCATGCATCTAAATAAAGGAAGGAATAACTGTTACAATAGACGTACGAAATATCAATCAACTAGAAATTTAATTTTTGATATAACACTATATCATTATAATGTATATATATATATGTATATATCATTATAACCATTAAAGATCGAAGTTCACATAAAATAGGATTTTTTTTTTGTGCCATCAACTAATTGTATTTAATAACTAATTAATAACCGTAATTATATTTATATAGATATTTACTATAATTTTATAATTTCATAACCATCCTATGTATATCAATATTGAATATATAAACTGTATTTTTGGCAATCTGCATGGGGGTTCGGTAAATAAATTTGTTATAAATATATACTATCTTGCTAATAATTAATAAATAATATGCCAATGAATGTTCTAACAGACAAAAACTTATTACAAATAAGGTATTCTTATAATTAGTAAAAAGTGCACATAATAAATGGCAAAATGTATTCTTTGATGTCCGTTTGTTTTCTGTACCATAAATATAAATAAATAAAGTTTAAGCTATCACATTTTTTTTAAATATGTTAAAAAAAATAAGAATCAAACAATTTAATAATATATTTAAACATATATAAATCAATTGTTCTAAGAGAGAAAATATAAAATAAATAAGGCCATTGATTAAATATACTGTATATTAAATTATGTAATTATATAACGTATATTTGATCAATGATACGGCAGTATATTTAAAATAAAAAATATTATAAATGGTTTAAAATATAAATGCTTCAAAGTTATTTAAATGTAATATACTCGCATCAAAGCTAAAAATATTAATTTCACGATACTACTCGTATTATTTTTTAATTTAATATATTGACATTTTATCTTACCTATACAATAATGTAATTCTAAGTGATCCTAAACCTAAGTATTTATACACTAAAACCCTTTTAAAAAATCACTTTAAATTTTAGATAAAGGTACGCATTGTCGATTCTCTAAATTGTAAATGGTTAGTTGTCAAAAGGGTCTGAAATAATGGATTTAAAATGTAAAAATAAATCTAAGAAAAAGTAATGAATTTAAGAAGTACACTTTTTTCTATCTTTTCTTAGGAATGGGTTGCTAACTCAAAAAACTTTTCTTTATTTTCGTTTAAGTTTGGTGATAAATTTTTATAATTATCAAATAATCTAGGATGACATGGGATATAGTAATTATAAATTACATTTAAGTTTTCAAAAACGTAAATTTGCATTAGATTTATCTATTTGTGCGCCTCTTTATAATTTGTTTCTGAATACTGACTTTAATTCAGTTTTATTATTATCATTTATAACCAATTGTTATCAAGCTATTTATTATAAGCTTCATCCACCATGAAAGCAACTTTAAATACAAATAAATATTATTACTTACTTGATGTGTGAAATATGATGAGATTAATAAACTAGAAGTCGCGATAAAACCACCTATAAACGTAGTTGTTCTGATTCCAATGCGGTCATTCAGCACTCCAGCAATAGGTGACATAAGGAATGTAGTTCCTACGGTCAAAGAACCGACTAATGCTAAAACCAACATATGATGGTGAACATTTTTAACACTTATAATTCTCACAACACTGTGCAAGATGAATAATATATATTTATAAATTATTAAAATTTATACTAAATAATTAAAAAAATAATGATTATCATTTATGGAGAAGGAAGGATTTTAATGAATTTTCTATCAAATACGGTGAATACAATATTTTATCCAGGACACTCCTTAGATTTTTCAGTTTATTAATAATGTTATTTTGTAGGACATTTTATATGGACAATACTACGGAAAAATATGTTTATTATTACATTTCAGGGACAAATTAAAATGATAAAGGTTAACTTCATCATGGTCTATCAAAATTGTATTGTTATATCTGAAAGTATATAATTAATTGTTATTAAATATAATTCTACTGGTCCTTTGATTCATTCATGTTCATGTTTTCAGTTAAATAAATACGATCACGAATACATTCAAATTCAAATGTAGGTTGATTAATATCAAAAATATATACATAGGTACACTGAAAACTTTTATTTTAATGTAATTTTTTAATTATAATTCAAATTATTTTTTTTAAATAATAATAAATAAATTATATATTTTTATATATTCTGAAAAGTTTGAAAATCTCAAAGATGTAAATAGATGGTTTCTGGTATATTATGAAACGATTGAAATAACAACCAATAATACTTCAATATACATTACTCGTAAATTAATTTATCATAACGAATAAAATAAAATTGTATTCTATATTTAATGATATATATGATTCTAATTATAAATAATTTTCCCAACATCATTTTCTAATATAATTTACTACATTAAAACAAATGAGTTAATGTAACTTAATTCTTATTAGTTCCTCTATTATAAACTGGAAAATCTTTGTGAAACACTTAGTGCATAAATATGGTATATATTAAAATATAATCTCTTCGAGATTCCCCAAATAAAATACAAGTAAAAAATTAATTCAATAAGTTTATCATTTGTTCGAAAGATAATAAGTGAAGAAATGTAAATAGTTTAAGTAGAATATTATATGTAAGTTTAAAATATAAGTGTTAGTTAAACATATTTACATTTTTCGAGTATACAGTAAATAAACGGATATAATTTAATATACATTTAAATAATTCCTGTAATATTCCTTTATACACAGTACCGCGAATGAGTTTAAATGTAAATATAATACAGAAGCATCGCCATTCAGTTAAATAGGTATAGAATAACTAACGTTTTAATAGGGTATTTAACAGTGTTTGGAAATAATATTTATATGAATATACGACTTACATGCTTTTGAAGAAGCTTCACTGACGCCAGCATCTTCAAGTCTTTTTAAGAGGAAAACATACGTCACTGAGTACGAATTAATAAAGCTAAACACTAGACCATTAACAACAAAACTGGCTAATACTACGAAAATTGATCGCACATTTGCTTCAGATCCATTTTTTTCCCGTTTGTCCATTTTTTAATATTAACTGTAGGTATTCCAATTAACAGCAAGTGTCAGTCTAAAAAAATAAATAAATAACTTTAATAAACTCGCTAATAAATTAATACAAAATCCGTAAATATTTTATTAATCTATTATGTGGCTATACTAATAAAAAAATAATATTGAATAGAGCGAAATTCCTAGGTCGGGTGGTTATTTGATAAATGCTGGTGCATTCAGAACGAACTGCTCTTATACCATTGGTAATTTCTCTAGAGAATTTAAGTTTTTAAAATTACAGTTTCTTTTCGTAGAGAATGAATAAAAAAACTCAAGAGTAAGATACAAGCATATACCTATTATATTTGTATATTGATCAAATGCATATTTGCTACGTCGTTAATGGCATACAAAGAAGGGTGAGTGGATGGGAGGTTCACGATAAATCACTTTCAAGGAGTAAAAAAAATCTCGTTTCGAAATAGTAGGAATGAAAAATATGCACATCATCAATATTTCAACATATGTATAAAATGCAGTATTTGTCAACTGTAATGGAATCACAAAAACATTAAATTTTCGTCCGAAGAGGTATAAAAAAAGACGTTTGGTATTGACAAAAAATATGTATATAATTTAACTTTCTTAATTATGATTATTTGAATTAAAACTTATTATTAAATAGTAATTTAAAAAATTTTAGTATGTTTAATTAATTTTTAAGTATAGATGATTAATGTTAATTTAATGTTTCAATATACACCAAATATTTTTTTTTTAAATCTCAACCATATCCAAGCTTATTTTTTACAGATAAAATAAAATATAAATATAGGTAATTTTATTAAAATGTAATTAAATATTTAATATGTAAGTACTTAATAAAGTACTTTGATATTTTAAAATATCAATGTTGCATACTAAGCATAAAAAGTATCTGGTAAAATCAGTAAAACTATAAATTAGCTAAAAGAGAATCGGATATATGGTTGAAAAAGTGTACCGTGAACATGTTCACTAATTTAGTCCAAAACGTAAAAATAATACATCAAACAACTATATAATAATAAAAATTTAAATTTAGTTACATTAAACTTCGAATTAACGATTAATTAGTTTAATTGAGCTCATAGTTAAGTTATATCATTGTTATTTATATTTATTTAGTAAAAAAAAACCATTCATGTAAATTATTTTGCATAATTAACATTTAGTTTAGACAAATATATGTATAAAAAAAAAAAAATATTTATCGAAATAGATCTAAGATAAGCATACTCTACTTTAAAAGAAAAAATAATATGACACTTCGGTAAAGTTTTAGCCCATCATTATTGATGATTATGAACATTTTACATCTGTTTTTAATTATTGAAATAATAATTTATTGTACTTTAAAATAATATTAAGGTGTGTTATAAAAATAGAATGATATAATTATGAAAACCTAGCTTTTTTTTATATTAGGGTTAATAACGCTGTTAAAAAATATATTTAAATCAGTTATTACAAAAATTATAGTAACATCAATATGTTTATAATATATTATATATGTTCAAAATACAGATACATATGAATGATGAAATGTCAAGAATAATTCCATGTGTTTAAAAAAATATTTGAACAGGTGTTCAAGTTAGGTTAGGTTGAACAGATGCCAAATGTAAAGAGTTTGATATAAAAAGGTCAGATATTGAAATTTAAGACTACTAATTTTCTATGCTTATAAATTAATGTTCGATGTACAATTAATAGAAATTGATTATCTATAGAAATTGTATTTTTATTCAATAATTCAAGGCAATTCGTTTATATCATTTATTACAAAAAATTAAACAAGGATAAAATATTAAATTGAAATTTTCATATTTACTAAAATATTGAGTAGGATTATTCATTGTTTAAACAATGTAAGATGCGTTATTTAATATGATAACTTTTTTTTTTTTTTTATCTAATCACTCTATAATATATGAAAAACATACCAAAATATCATAATGTTGACAGGATTATTAAATAATAGCAATTGCCACATATATGAAAGGTAAATTTTATATGAGTACTACTTTTATAATGAAATATTTAGAGTAAAATTGATTAAATTATTATAAATTACATAGAAATTATTTTAATAATTAATTAACATATTAATATGATATACTTTTTTTTTCTCAAAATTAAGTTATTCAAAACATAATACACCAATACCTAACGTACAGATTTTTTAACTATATGTGCTTTAACTGTTAAATAATATATTTATTCCCTCAGTGTGCCAATAATGAGGAATACTTCTATCAGTAAAATATTTGCTCATCCACTGTCGAGCCTATACAGAAGAAAGATATAATTATAAAATCCCGGACAACATGCATGAAGCCCTAGGACCAAACGAGAATAACCTCAACAAAATAATAACCTTTTTTAAATCAATTAATATGTATAATTTTATTTAATAATAATTTTTCTTTAATATGTTCTTATTATAATTCTGTAAGCTAATAACCATGTTGTTGAAGCTATATCACGAATAAAAAAAAAAAAAAAAAAATAAAAAAATAAATTTATTTGATTAATTTAATTTCCATTGTTATTAAAACTTTCCTTTATTCAATAAAAAAAAAAAAATAAAATAAAAATAATAACAATAATAAGATATGTAAATATCATACAATTGATTTTAATAAAGTAATACTTTATTGGTAATATGAAAAATTAAATCTGAAAGATGTGATGTGGAAAAAAAATTATAGAAAAATATCCGATTATAGAAGTAATAATTACCAACATTATTAATTGTTATATAAATATTTTATTTCAAAAATTATATTTGTTGTCTAATAATAGAACGCGTAGGTTTGTGGAAATTGTTATAGATTGACTTAACAATGGCAAAACACATTAACAAATTACTTAGTGTCATAATTGTTATTATGGATTTTGAATATTTATAATCATAAGCTATTTAGCTAAGTCTCAAAAAAGAACGATTTGAGTTAGTTTTTTAAATAAACAAATTTTTGATGATTATTTTTAATGTTTGTACTAAAATTCATTCTAATAAAATATATTTTTAATTTCGCTATTTTAGTCTTGCTATTTAAATATAAATATTTAAATTCTTTTATAGGAATACCTAATCAATTTTAGTCAAAATGATGGATAAATGATAAGATATTTAATAGTATATCTATTATATTGACCGTCGCTAAAAATAATTTTTAAATGTGTTGAGTTTTGAAATTAAAATTACATTTTTCAGTTTTTGAATTGCAGAAACAATACAAAAAGCACTAGGAGTTCTATTTTGATGCCATACTATTTCCGTACACAAATACGAGTATAGTAATATTATACAGAGAAAATTTTGAACATATATGATTTGAAAATGTTTAAAAATTACTTAAAAAAAGGCGTTTTGTGAAAAATACTATCACTTGCACCACTTCTAATAGAACTAAAAAAATATACAATATAGTAATTGTATGTAAATAAGTCTTAACATTGGCATTGACTGACACGGTCATTGATATTGAATTCTGTGGTACAATTAATTTTTATCAGATAAATAATTGTTAAATAACATTGATGAACTTACACATTATTTTAACCCAATCAAGTTCATCGTTGATATTTTATTTTATTGGTTTTAGTTTCTTAATAACATTTAAAATTTGAAAATTATAAATTGTATTGAATAACTATTTTTATACATTATCTACATGCTAAATCTTATCAAAAATATTTATGCTCTAAGATCTATCTTTAGTTAGTAGAATTATAATTCTATGAAAGAGTAAATAGTAAATTATTAACCATTCATTTCAATTTCGTTCCATGTAGTATTCTGTAAAACAATAAAAACAATTCTTCGAAAGGGATATAATCGAAGAAATTAAGACCCAAAAAAATTAATTTTCAACAATTATCTTGAGTTTATATTATTTATTTATTTTTTAATATATTTAATATTATTATTTAATTTATCGATTTTTGTATAATTATAAATTAAAAAAATGTTTGTAGGAGACATGAATAAATAATAAAAATAACTGTGTTGATATTTTCTGTGTAAAAATCCGAATAAAATTTATGTTGACATCTTCTTAATATTTATCAGTGTTAGTATGAAAAGTGGTAAAATATACCGTAAAAAAATGAAATAAGTATAAAGTATTCCGATCAAACGCAGATAATATGTTTCTAACTCAAATTAAACAATATAAAAATATGGACAATTGTAAACTGGGCCCACGATTACCTTTTATGTTGTAAATTCGGCCCCGAAAATTTTAGGTAATTAAGTTGGTAGATTGTAAACTCGGCCCGATAATATTTACAAGTGAAATAAAATGGCGATGTATAAACCGCAAATGCACAGCTTTTTTAAAAACGTTTGGAATAAATAATGATATTACGGAGAAAAATGGTGATCATCTGCATGAACCTATCAGGTGCCAAGTATTACAACGACAATGTGTTACCACCGTGGCCAAACGCAAAGGAACTGAGGATATCTGCAGTAGGCCAAACAAAATTGTTTATAGTGCAGTAAATAATGTACCTGACACGCAAGATCTACAAGTGATATTCGGTATGTTAAAAGGAATATATACAATGCCTCCTAGTGGTGTCCTCTGGGTAATGCTAAAAGGTTCTCAAAAATATTATAAGAAAATTATATGTACATTTTTATCCGGGTCGAGTTTACACCTAAATTATTTTTACCTGAAAAAAACACGGGCCGAGTTTACAATATACCTTTTGAACATTTTTTTTCCTCGGGCCGAGTTTACAATCGCCCAAAAATATTTACTTGATATTCTGTAATATATCGAGGTTCTACACAATATATTTTAGTAGACACTAAAAAGGAATAATAAATCTTTGTTTATATGTAACACATTTTTAATTACTAACGGAAATAAATAATTAGACTTTTATAGTATCTGAAATGGCATATTTAAGACTAAAGGTTTTTCTTCAAACAATAATAATATAAGGATTACAAAAATTATTAAAGTAAAAAAAAAAAAAAAGAGTATCACAAACTACAAAATAAACACGTACTAGATT